TTCCTTCCTTCCTTCTTTCTTTCCCTTCCTTCCTTCCTTCCTTCCTTCCTTCCTTCCTTCCTTCCTTCCTTCCTTCCTTCCTTTCTTTCTTTCTCCTCATTTTTCTTTCTTGCTTTAAGGTAGTGATTATCAACTTGGGACACATTTGCTCCTCAGGAAACACTTGGCAATGTCTGGAGACATGTTTGGTTGTTACAGATGGTGGGGGGAGTGGTGTTGCTGAACCTCGAGAGACAGCAGGGTGTTTTCTCCAGCTGAAGTGGACCTAGGCCATCTTTCCTACCGGAGTCATCTGGCCCAAAGTGGCCGCAGTGTCATGGTCTGAACCTCACTGTTAGAGAAGTTAGGGACCTGGACAGTAAAAAATCCTGGCTTTGTTCAACACTTGAACCTAGAAGGGAACTTTATACAGTTTTTGATACTCTATTAACAGAAATTCGAGACAGATTTGAAAATCTTATATCTTGATTTAAGGTTTGTTCTGAATAGTCCCCTACAAAATGAGTTTTCCTGCTTAAGTTTCAAGAGTGACATTGTTGAGATGTCCTTGTCTAAACATGTAAGTTACTGTACAAGCTGGGCACTTTTAAATTAAAACTTGTTTAGAATCCTCTCTTGATGAATACCTTTGGTAATAGTTTAGAAAATAGATTATACACTTCCAGTTCTCCATGCCTCTGAAATACTGTAGGAATCCGTGGAGCATGGCCTATGGCCTGTCTTACCCAATGAGGAAGTGAGTATGTATCTTTAGATACCCCAGACTGACATACAGCAGTACTTTTCTGTTTGTCTCAAACCAGCCACTCTTGGCATCTAGGCAAGGCTGGGGGTCTGCACACCTGCAAAGGCCTGACCTCAGGAACATTGCTCTAAGAATAAGAACCGTGGAAGGCCTGCCAGCCATTTAGGCCAGAGATTCTGGTGAATCTAGAACATACCTCAGGTTGGTATTGGTAGGAGAATCAAAGACGAGAACTCTTTTGGGTTAAGTAAGGTCTCACCCTCAGGAGCAAAGCTTCCAGCCATGTCATCTCAAATTGGAAATTGAATATTAGGATGTTCTGACTGTAGTCCTATACACAGTGGCAAGCAAAAGATTTTATATGGTTTTGAAAGGATTTAAACAAAAATTTATAGAAACTTGATAAAATAGGTAGAAATACAGATTTTAGTTTCCACAACTTAAAAAGATAGTATTTCATTTACATTTTTATTTACATGTATGTGTGTGTGTGTTTGCATGCCTGTAACGTAAATGTGTGCCTGGTGTCTCGAGAGGCCAGAAGAGGGTTTCAGCTTCCCTCCAGTTGGAGTATTAGAGGAGGTTGTGAGCCACCTGATGGCGGTGCTATGAACTGAATTCAGGTCCTCTGCAAGAACCGTTAGTGCTCCTAACCACTGAACCCCCTCTCTAGCTCTGTTTCTTTTTTCCTTTTTAACTTGTTTATTTTGAGTAGATTTATGTGCCTCATTTCTGGTAGAAAATTATTTTCTAATATTCTGAAAGTTCTGCCTTTCAAAGTTTCTCACATGACTTCTCAAAGACGTGGACCTAAGGTGTAACAAACACCACAGGAACAGTGGGATGTTTGCAAGAGGACCAAGCAAGGACAGAGAACAGAAGGAGTCACTTTAGACTACGCAGATTTGACGGATTATCGTCTCTAATGACAGCAAGCAGCTTTCGGGCTCCTTAGGAAGCATTCCAGGTGTAGTTTTCAACTTTTCAGTCTTCTCTTGTCAGCCATGCTTGCTGTGTTCTTCATTAAAACCTAGAAATGACAATAACAGGAATTAAGGTGCAGTTTAGTAAGATTTATTATGTATGATGTGTTCCATAAAAAGTGTTTTAAGAGACACAAAAAGGGAAGAGTCTCCCAAATTTCTGGAAATTGAGAGTGCAAATAACTGGTTCCCCTATGCCTAGAAACCAAAAGAAAATATCAGGGGATAGTGTGGATGCTGGGGTAGGGAATTAGACAAAGCAAGAAGTGGAACGGTGACAGACTCTTTTTTATGTATGCATATACTCATACTGAACATCATCTAGACTGTGTTAGCATAATCAAGGATACAGTTATAACCATTGCCATGGATTTTATTTTCCAGTTTGTTCTTCAGGAGCCTTGAAGTGACCAGCTATATTTATATATGGGAGAACTACAGACTTGTTGATTTGCCTTGGGATTCTCCATGGACATGGTATTTGACCTTCTTAGGAGTTGACTTTGGCTACTACTGGTTCCACCGCATGGCCCATGGTAAGTTACAAATGATACATTTTGTCATTGATGAAGAAGTGTGTTTAGCACACAAAAGGCATTTGGTATTTATTGAATGAATTTAAAAATCCATAGAATAATATATCTTGTAGCATGTGAAGATTGTTAATAAAGACTTACTTTGAAATCTCAGCATATGTAATCTGAAGCCATTAAAAATAAAATTATTTCAGATACATTTTCCTCATGATTATAATTGTAATACCTTTAGAAAATGATAGCTTTAGCATTGCTTTTTAGTGGGTTTCCATCCATTGTTAAACTGTAGGCAATTATGCATAATATCAAACTTCGCATCCCAATCATCACGGGTCATTCTGGAGAGGACTTCAGCAGCATCGGATTCTAGGGAACATCTGCCATCACAGTCAGCACGACTCACTTTCTTGGCAGTCCTTCCACATTACAAATGAAAATGCAATCAGCTAAGCACTGACCAGACTGCACTTCAGTGTTGCCATAGTTTCACAAAATTTCTCATCTCATACAGAGCCTCTTCTTTCTCTGTGCTGGTTCACTGCATTTGCTTTGGAGATTCATAGCTGCACCTTCCAAAGAAATGTTTTGTTATGGAAAAAAAGAAATGGGAAAAGTTGCAAAGGATTAGGACTGTACTTTTGTAGGGATGGGCGAGCATTAGGGATGGCAGAGGGAAGCAGAGCAAGTGGGTTCTGGGGCTCGAGAAGCCATGTCAAAGTTCTGAAGGGGAGTGCCGGAAGGTGGTAAGTTTTTAAAAAAGCAAGGGAAGTACACCACTGACTATTGCTTGGCTGTTTGGGATGAGGGGCCAGGAAGGAAGGAAGGAAAAAGAAGAATCTGGAATAAGAATAATAAGTAGATGGGAAATGGAAATGGGAGACATGAGATCAGGGAGAATAACTGTGTAATGTGGAGCAACACAGCAGACCAAACATCCTTCCTAAACAGAGATGATGGAGGTGGGAGGGACATGGCTCAGGGCTGTGCTTAAGGCCACTAAACCGTGTGTGCGTGTGCTTGTGTGTGTGTGTGTGTGTGTGTGTGTGTACTGAAATATATATATATATATCCACCATATATGTATATATACATATATATTAGTATTTTATATTCATGCATTTAACAAAAGTATGAGTGTTAATTAATTGGAACAATTTGAAGTAAATATGCAAGTTAAAAATATATATTGTGAGGAATAACCAGTATCTTTAAAAATAATTAGTCAGTCCCTGACATCATTTCCCTACTATAAATGTAAGAGGAAACTCCCAAATCAAATATGGTTAAGAATAAAAATGCAGTAAACTGTTTATATTTTAATGCAAAGCACTAGTTTTCCTCATCGAGTAAGCATATTGGTGATTTCTCTCGTATTCTATGTAATCAACACTATTGTCAAAAGACTGTCATTCAGTTTCAGAAATCTTCTAATATCACATTGTTCTATATAGATGTTTTTACTTGAGAAATCTGTGAAATTACTTAATCTTTGAAGCTAAACAAAAAACCCAAAATATTACCAAATATAAAAATTTTTAAATATCTTTATTGTGAATATCCTGAGTTAAGAGTAATAAAATTTTAAAAAATCATTAAAATGTGGAATCAAGGCACTTTGAAAGTATGCTTCCTATTAGAAAAAAATTGAACTGAATCCAGTGGACGAGGCGGGCATTAAAGAAATTGAAAGCCTTCTGGAAAAACATTCAAACCCTCAGGCTATGGAACCTAATCACAAGTTCAAAGACTTGTGGTTTGTAATGGAAAGCTAGAAGGAAAAAATAAATTATATAGTTAAACATGTCACCCATCGATGTGATAGTTGATTTTAAAATTTATACACAAACAGTAATAAAATATTAAAATAGTTTTAAGGATTTAAAAATATGTGTCAATAAGAAAATCTTACACTATACAATCTTACAATATGAAAACGTGTAATTCCAAACTGAATACTTATTCAGATCAATTTTATCAACAATTTCAAAATTCAAATGCCATCTTATAATACAGAAAGAAAAAAGCTAAGATTTTTTTCTGCTTACTGTGTAGTTAATATCCTTTCACTATTTCAGTAAAAGCATATATATTCCATGTGTATTAACATGTTAAATATGATGAAACAGAAATGACATAAGTGAGACTTGGTCGTCATAAGCATTGAAATGATTTCTTTACTAAGCCAAAGCATTGCCTGTGTTCTGCTGTGTGGGATTGGCACTCACTTGTCTTGTATGTGGGCGGCATTTTCTTCTCTTTAGAGGACAGTGGTGTTTTGGGTAAAAAACTTTATTCTCAAAACATTGACTTTATCTCTGTGTCAGAAAACATATTCCGGGGCTATACAGGTCTTTACATTTTCTTTCCCTACAGAACAACACAAAAAATACTCATTATTGACATCTAGTGTAAAATGAATGTTGCCCGATCACCTCCATAGATTTCTTTGATGACTTTAGAAAGAAATTTGGAATGTTAAAATAAAATAATCCTGAAATTAAAAGTAGCTCTCTGTATGTCTTTACTCCACTAAAATCACAGCAGCATTGGGTTCGGGCGTGCTCCGTGTACTCTTGACCGCTCTGCTCCGGTAAGGTAGCGAAGATTTCACTGGAGTGCCGGCCCGTGCCGTAAGAGTTTTGATTGGGTTTGTTTGTTCCCACCAGCTAAAGAATTAAAGGACAGGAAAATTCTGAGTGCCTTAGGTAGCAGTGGAGAAATTGCAAACACCGCAAATAGCAACAGACAGACTCAGCTGTTGGCGATGTTCGTTGGGATGAGGAAACACAGGCATGCAGAAGTTCTGCACCCAGAGAAAAAGACCCTGTGCAAAGCAAAGAGAGTCCTCAGCCATCAGAAAACCCAGGCTCTGCTAGGGCTGGGCATTTAAAGTCTCTGAAGGGTGTTCCTCCCCAAATTTAGGGTCGGTCAGTTTGAAGAAAGAAAGGGTTGCCTGGCCTCCAACTGCTCTGTAAGGGGCCTTGAACCTGTGGAGTCGGTTCATCCGCAGGGGCCTGCTGTGGGCAGAAGAGAGTCTACAATGCATTAGTTTTAAGTTGCCAGGCTTTTCGTCTCGAGTCAGAAGGGTGTGGAAGAAGCTGACCATCTTGGAAACTGGCCCTACCCAAATATGGCCCACCTGTCTGTCTGTGTACCCAGAAGTCTAACTCCTAGTCACTCACATAGGAGCACATGGGAGCCTGAGACAGGAGAATGTCCAGGTGTTAAGAGCCTGTCCTGGCTACATAAAGAATTCTAGGCCAGCCTGGGCTACACAGTGAGACCCTGTTTCAAAACAAACAAAAAGATATTACAGATTAGTGCTTGCTGCTTAAGAAAACAAGACCAAAACTTCCACAGTGCTTGTAGTTTATCATATCTTATTGTGGGTGGTAAATACATGAATGTGTATCTTACAGAAAATTCTGCAGAGAAGTCTCTTCTCTTTAGACCACACCTGCATTGGCCCTTGTGTGCTGACCCAGGGAATGCATACCTAGAAGTTGTTTCTGAGCCAGGAACCCACTCAGCAGCATTCTCCCTCTCTGTTATCTCCTTGTAGATTTATTTGCACTTCCACAAACTTCAGCCTAGGGTTGGTAGGGTCTCGTGTTAGTTATTACTATATGGTGCGATGCTGTTGACCGTGTGAGAAAAGCCACGAGGTACAACAAAATCCACTATAAGTGTTTATTAAGAGAAGGAACAGAGGGGAATGTGCTTAGGCCTATGGAGGATTGTGCATGGAGAGAGAGGAAGAAGAAGAAGAGGGGAGGAGTCTGTGACCTGCTTTTTATGGATTCCCCCCAGCCCCTGCACATGTGCATATGGGCTTACGAAGGTATGCCGCGCATGCATGAGAGCAGTAGGCAGTAGCCGTGGTACAGCCGGCCACCGTTCTGTCTTGAGATTTCCCCTGCCTAATGGGTCAGTCATTACTACTGATTTCAGCCTCAGTCAGTCCTCAGAATGTAAACAGAATGAAGTCAAAATATAATTTAGATAATCTCTAGTCCAGTTCCCAAGAGTCCTTAGTCTCTTCTGAAACCTCATTATCTGAGCTTCCACTGCACACTCTGTTCTGGTCTTCCATGTTCGTGTTGAAACGGCACACTCAACCCTGCTTACAGAAGAACAGGGATTTTCTAATGCATGATCCACGCTCTTCCACACTGCCCTCTAACCAGTTCGTCACTCTCCACCCAATTTCTATGTTCAATACTTTACTAGTTACCGTGACATGTAAACTTAAGGGAGGAAAAGTTGATTTTTTTCTCAAAGCTTAATAATATAATAATCCATTATGTTCTATAAACCACAGTACTTAGAAATTGTTTCCTCCTGTTATAAATTTCACCGATGCATCTATTTTTTGTCATTTGTTAGTTTTTCCCATAATTATTAAGATCACTTATATCACTCTCAACGCAAGGTACCTAAGGTCACTTCTCGATGCCACATATACTTGATTGTTCTTGTACGGATTATAGGTGCCAATAATCAGTTATAATAACGACAGAGAAAATGTCAATTTATGTAGTGAATTCTAGAACTGATTCTTGTCCCATTCTAGACTTCCCATGAAGTGTGAACCTAATTAATTTTAGCAGTAAAAACTAGGAGTCAGATATGGGGGTAATAACGGTAATAACCTGAAAGATCAGAGAAGCAGAGGAGCAGTCACCATCGACTTATCACCTCTCTAGATCCTTCCAGCAAAAGAGTGGAGATGCTGTCTCCGCTGTGCCTTATCACTTCCTCTCTCCACCTCCCGGGTACTGGGATTAAAGGCCTGAGCCAACACCACCTGGCCTTTATGGTAAGCTAGTGGCTAGCTCAATCCTCTGATCTTCAGGCAAGCTTTATTTATCAGAACACAAACAAAAATATCACATAAGAGTCCCACATCTTTTGTAAGTTGTATTCTCTTTTAGTTGACTTCAGGTAAAATAATCATACATGTCATTGACCTAGGGAAGTGTTCTTCCGGTTCAGGGACT